TTGTGCACATAGTAAAATGCATTTATTTTAGTGTGCAGTTCTGAGCTTTAGCAAAGGAATATATTCACATAACCTCTACAATCAAGGTAAAAACAGTTCCACTGTAGTAAGGTGCCATTGCGTTGGCTTTGCGCAGTGAGCCTACGCACAATGGAACGAAACAGCGCCTCAGTCAGGCCTCACAAGGGTGTCCTGAGGCCACTGTGAGTCCATCTTGTCGAGGGCCAGTTTAGATCCGTGCAGACTGTGCGCTTAGCTAGGATCCATCTGACATCAGCAACGATATCCTCTGTTCCACGTCCTGGTCTGGATTCATTTTGCATTTCTGGCAGCTTCTGGTTGATGTCTGCTTCCATGATCTCTCCCACAAACAGGTTCCCATGTGTCCAGCCCCACTCTAAGCCCCTGTCACCCACTGACATGAAGGGGGCTTCACAAAGATCATGGTACAGGGGATCCAATGACAATGGATTATTTTTTTAATCGTTTTATTAGGGGCTCATACAACTCTTATCACAATCCACACATACATCGATTTTGTAAAGCACATTTGTACATTCATTGCCGTCATTCTCAAAACATTACCTCTCCACCTAAGACCCTGGCATCAGCTCCTCTACAATGGGATTCTCTCTCATGAACTTTTCAGACCCCCTTTTATTTGTGATCCCCGGCTTTAACTTTTCCAGAATTTTCAAATAAATAGAAGTCAGCCCCAGTCTGATTTCTTTGACTTAGTACAATGCACTTAAGTTCACCCACATTATTGCACGCATCACTAGTGCTCTTTCTGCTTCTGAGTAGCATGCCATTGTCCGGGCGCACCAGTCTGTTTAATCCTATTCACCAACTGAGAGGCATCTGGGTCATGTAAGGGAGAAATCAACCCAATCTACTTTACTTCTCACACCAACCGAATGAAATAAAATCTCTCTTTTCTGATACACCAGTTACACTGAAGAAATTCAATTCCAATTCAGTTCTACTTGAATTCTAATCCTAGCTGTAGATGCGGTATTTTTTTCCTGATTCTCACTACTGGAGGTAGGCCAGACCTCCAAGTTACGAGGACACTCATCCAGACTGCCAAGTTGGCCCAAGACTTGGTCATTGTTTCAGATGCTAGGCCCAAGCTTAGGAATTCCCAGGCCCATGCCACTTGACCCACTGGCTACAAATCTGGGGGTTCCCTGCCCAGTGTGCCAGTTCTCCAGGCTTCTGACCTGACGGCCCCCACTACTCCTTTGGACCCAATAAAGCACCAGAACGACTGGAAGAGCTCAAGACAGTGCTGTGCTTCCTCTTAGCGTTGAGGCTATTAAGAGATTAAATAAACAAACAAAGCCTCACTGCCAAAAGGTGGCTGCTGAGTCAGAGGAACCACACGGGACAGGTTAGACCTGCACCTACAGTTTCTGAGACTGTAACTATAGGGTAGAAATGCTTTCTTCCAAGGAGCA